GTATTTATTAAAAAATAATAATAAACATCGGTTGCTATGCTAGGCTTGCTAGTCAAATTTGAAAAAATGAAACAAATTAATGGACACAAAAAACGGTTAAATTTGAATGACAAAATTTGAAATTTTTCTGGAGACAACTTTTCACAAATATTTCATTTTTATTTAAATCTTAATAAATTTATTAACAAATCGATTGGACTAGTTAACGTTATTTATATACAACTTCAACTGCATATCAGATAGGAATGTTTAGAATAAATGTAGCAAGGGTTTGTTTTACAGGCTAGTTAGTTCAGTTAGTCTTTCAAATCATCTTCATAACAAGAGGAAGAAAACAACGTAGACTTAAGTATAAACATATAAACATATAAACATAAATCTTTATAACAGGATAAATCAAGTATATATATATATATACAATGAACAACAACAAAACCATCGATGCAACTAACCAACAAACAATACAAGTTTTTGCAACAACAGCGTATACCTACACATAAACTAAACACACAACGAAAAAAAACTAAATCGGTGACACCCCAGCATCAAAACAACAACAACAACTACTACGACAACAAAGCTAGCAACAACAAAAACACAACAACAACAAAACTTGCAACCACGAAACTAGCAACAATGAAAATATGCAACAACAACGACAACAACAACGAAACAAAGACTATGTACCGCCGCAACCATCCTCTCCTCTAGCGAAACCGGTCTTAGCATAACGATGTATGTATTGCTTAATCTCAACCAGAGGCGTCCGACTCGAATTTGTTGCAGTGCCGTTATTCTGCTGGGCCACCAAATCGTTATCTTGTAGCTGCTGTTGTTGCTGCTGCTGCTCTAACTGTTGTTGTTGTGACGTCACCGGGACGATACCATTTGAAGATAAGAAGGGGTGGCGAGTTACGGCGATGGGGGGGCCGCCATTCGGAACAAAGGCCGTGATGACGTCACATTTTTCCGTTGAGACCCCCCCTAACGATTGAGTGGTGGAACGTTCTCGGAGAAAGAATAAAGAAGGCTTGCAATGGATGAGGAAGATGACGACGAAGATGACGCCGAGAAAGAAGCAAATGACGCCGACGATGATGAGGTGGTGGTAATGTATTGTTGACGCTGGTGGTGGTAATGCTGCTGATGATGATAGAGATGATGATAACGACGACGAGGATGAAGAAGATGATGAAAATGAAGATGTGTGTTGTTGCTGTTGATTGTGTTGTTGCTGCTGCTGAGAATGTTGTTGTTGCAGATTGATGTTTTCGTTAAGTGCTGAAGCTTCTAACATTTCGTAGTAGTTCTCCATGTTGTTGTAGACAAAACTGTCATCACCATCAATATCACTACTCTCGTCATCATCCTCATCGTCGTCTTCATCGTCATTTTCGTCACCATCATCATCGTCATCGTTGTCGGCGTCATCGTCGTAATCATAGAATTCATTTGTCTTGTCAGAAGATTTCTGCGTACCTGTCAAAAACAAATTTAACAATTTAAAAAAATTTTTTCATTTAATTTCAAGACATTCGTTTTTTTTCACTAATCAAAACATTAAGTTTAATTTAATTTAATCAAATTTTTCATTTTTAGCATATAGTTTTCACTAGTTTTAACAAAAAAACACACAGTGCATCTTAAAACGTGTTGCCACCCATCACACACATAGCATTTCATAGGGCTACATCATCACCCAAAGACAATGCAATAATTTTAAAAATTAAAAATTGAATACAACGACTTTTATCTAGCATTAATAACTAACTAAAATTTAATAATTCTTCATACACTCGTCAGAAACGTACATGAAGATTTCAGGCAGAATTTTTCCTGGCGACTTTTTCCAATGCAACCTTTGACCCCACTGCCACTGCTATAGCCACTAAAAGTATTATTACTACTATTATTTTCAGTTGCAGTACCTGTGTGCGCTTCAGCAGCGTTCGCCAATTTACATATTCTGGTTCTAATTCTTGTTCCTTTGCCGTATGAAACGCTGCATCTGCTAAACGGACTCCAACAAGACCAAGTTGGAAAACTTGTATTGTTGTTGTTGATGTTTATGTTGTTGTTGTTTATGTTGCTGTTTATGTTGTTGTTGTTTGTGTAACATGGAATATGAGAAGTGCATGACCTAGTTTCGTGATGTAGGGGTGTAAATGTCGAGAGGTTGCAGTTTGTGGAATCTGTTTGAAGTTCATGTGTTTGTTATGTAATCTTTTCAAACATCATAAACATTATTTATAAATAATTTTTCAAAATAAGTCAGCATAACTCTTATTTATCGTTTGACGTCATTAAAATAGATATTGAGACTGGAACGTACCGTTTATAAAAGCGGCAAAAATTATAACTCAATCAAAAATTGCATCAACAACAACAAAATGTCAAAAACCTCCACAACAACAACGACGAAAATTACCACAACAAAACTAATAACTACACCAAAAACCACCCAAAAACGTTACTTGGGGGACAAAAGACTCGTCTGGTTTGAGACCCACCACCTCCACATGTTACGGTACAGGCTGACCAGGATGACCACGTGTTATCCAACTCAAAGAGACCTACCAGGTATTCGTTTTGAATGATTTCAATCATAATTATAGAAATATATTCTTCATTCTAATTATAAAATAATAAATATATTTTTCTTTTTCATTATGTGACTATTATTTAAAAGTTTTAAAATGGAATTAAAAAATAATTCCACATTAACCTTAATTAATTTCAATTTATTCTAAAATTGTTACATAACTAAGCCGGGATTTTAAAGTAGAGAAAGTCAAAGTCGGAAATTATGATAAAAATAGAAAATACGAAAGAAAAAGAGAGAAAGAGAAGGAGAGAAAGATGGAGAGAAAGAAGGAGAGAAAGAGAAACTGCAAAAAATGAAATAACCTTTTGAGCAGTTGTTGTTCAGACACACTCTTCTCATAACTTCCAGAGTAGGATGCGACACAAGGACACCATCGCCATTACCGCTACAACTACTGCTACTGGTGCCACTACTACTGCTACTACAAACGCATCGAAACTTTGTCTCCATTGACGACGTTTCGGATTTGTTGTACATGTACCATTCGGTCCATTTATCGGCTGGATGTTTTTTTTTCGGTTTTATATAAAGTTTGATGGAAAAAAAGAAATTGATTAAATTTTGTCACAATATTGTCAGCAAAATAATTAAACAAGATATTAAAACGACCAAATTCATCGAAATCAATATGAAAATCCACTTTTCGTCACTACTCACCATCGCAACCCTTAACGGAGCAAGCCCTCTTATCGAGGGCGCTCCCACGGCAACGACCTTCTCCCCAGGAACACAACCTTGACCTGGTTTTGTGGCCCTCACCTTGACCGCAGTTGCCACTACAGGACGACCACTCGGACCAGGGTGACCAATGTGGGTCAGCTGTGGACGAGTGTGGGCGTATGAGCAGTTGATGTTCTTGCTGCGGTCGATGTTGTTGTCGTAGTTGTTGCTGCTGTTGGTGGTGGTGGAAGATACTGTGGTGACGACGTCTGAAAACTGTTTTGGAAATTATATTTAAATAATTATACTGTTCATCATTTTTTAATTTACCAAATTTTACCATTATCTAAAACATCTTCTTCAACTGACAAAAATAAAAATCGTATGCATCAAAATTAAATGCATTTCAAGCAATCTTTTCAAACAAAGTGTTTGTTATTAAACATATCCCACATGTGCAATTAGTAACTTCTACATTTCCGCCATCACAAAATTTCCCGCCGTTCAGTGGCGAGGGACATGCGCATTCCCTCGTTCGGCAACGACATTTTATGTTGTCGTTGTGGTGGTGGCTGTTGTGATAATGACCGCTGTTGTGGTGACCGCTGTTGTGGTACACTTTGTGTCTGTAGATGTTGTTGTTGAATGAGCCGCCATCGTTGAGTAAACTGTATGGAGAAGCTTTGTTGTTGTTGTTGTTGTTGTTGTTGTTGTTGTTGTTGTTGTTGTTGTGTTTGGTGGCGGTACGACCGCGTACGTTAATGTTGACGTTGCTGCTGACGTCATTATTGGAAGTGGTCACGTGGTGGCATTGTCTCCATGACGACCATTTACAAAAACTTCCGTCAACTTGGAAAATTTAATTCACAATAATTTTTGTGTCATCTCATTAAATTTTAGTAACTCATCCACTTGCTATTCAAGTAAAATTCATTAATCTTTATATTACTAATAGTTTAAAAAATTATTAAAATAAATAATTGTAAAATAAAATTTCTGGAAAACAATGACGATGTATTAATAAATCGATGTAACCCACCACTGAATACAAAAATATATAGAATTATCATAACGGAAATGGATCTCATTACGAAGCTATTAAGTCATCAACAAACAAGCCTACCAGGTTGATTTGTGATTGGGCAGGAGTTAATGTGCGGGTGACCAATGGCAGAGCAGGCATTATCATCATCACTCCAGCCGCAATACGGATCCTGGGCGTTTAAACAGTGACTGCAAAGGTTAAAGGTCATTAATTATGTTAGAGCAGGTCATGAGGTCGTTTTATCATCTTGGAATGCAATTAATTTTAATAAGCTGGTCATACATTTTTTAAGATGCAAAACATTTTTCATAATGAAGAGCGTTGAGTTATTCATTTGAAATTCGTTTATTGTGGTGATTTCTTTTCATCATAATTGAAAGAAGGTGATATTAATGTCGTAAATATAATTTAATTTAAGAGCTGTTTTGACTGAAATTTCTAAAAAAAAAAATGTTTCATATTAACTTTTTCGTTTTGAATCTGGAGCACCTGTGAAGTGAAATTTTCAAGAAGCGATTTTGCGTGCCCACGTAAAGGAACTCCTGGAGATTGAAAAAAATTTTTTAGGTGTGAATAAAATCACACACCATTTAAAATCGAAAAGTTAAATTTTACCGAATAGGCAATATTTTTAAAAATTTCACGCAAGGTGGATAAAAAGTTGAATTCAAATTTTAAAAAATGGAAAGTTTAAAAAATGCTCCCCACCGATTCTGTGTCGATCTTCATGGACTTGATGCGTGAATCAGTCCGAAAGTCATCCTCCTCATCATCATCGCCTCTAACCTGAAACAATCTAATTCTCTCGACGAAACACGATACATGATCTTTGTTGACGTCATCATCGGCTGCCGGAAGTACAGTCATCTTGTCAATGTAGCCGGAAATTGAAGCCAAAAACAAAATGGCGATCGTAGCATTTTGTCGCCCAAGAAATTTTTTGTGCATGGCTATGTGAGCGTAGCTGCAGAAATGTTTATTTATTTTTTATTTAATGAAAATAAAAAAAAATTTTATTTATTGTTAGTAATATAATTAATTAAATTAATGTTTAAATAATTTAAATGTAAAAAATGAACATACTTGTTCATATATAGATTTTTTAATGCGTGCATTATACCTCTATTAGATCATTCATTTGAAAGTAGTTTTAAAGCGTGCACTCAACTTAATTAGCACAACTTCCTGCCCTACGTAAACACAAACATGCAATCAAAAAAAAACTCACACACACAGACAGACACACACAAGCTTACAAACACACTATTTCAATACACCCGAAAAGTTAAACGAACATATAAACATGATAAACCTGATAAATTTCTGAATAAACAACGGTGAAATCAACTCCCAACAACTGTATACCATTAGTTTAACAAGCATTCCGTACTATTCTACCATAATAACATACCCTATAACCATTCTACCATATAACATTAACTAAATGACCAACCGTTCACTTTCAACGACAACAATGGGGTTGAGATGTTTGGACTGGACTGCCCTGTCCATTAGCTGATACTTTTGAGCGTCCACTAGCGATCTCGATGTCGACTGACTCGTTTCGGTGATTGTCGGTTTCGGAACGTTTGTTAAATTGCCGCACTGGAAGGATATGTTTTTTTTTATTTCTTTAATTCTGTCAAATAATTACTGACTCGTTTTGATATTTTTCAGTTTCGGTACGCTCGTTACGTTGCCAAACTAGAAAGATTAGTAAAAAATTAAAGTTATTAAAATAGACTGGCTAAAATAATTAATGCCGACTGACTCTTTCGAATAATAGTTTTTGAATTCGATACAATCGTTATATTTCCGAGCATGAGTGATATGTTTGATTGATAGCAAGAGATAAGATTGTGTGACGACAGACTGATGGCTGGTTAGATTGACATGCGGATAACGTAACGTGCTTATCATATTGAAGGATGAGATTGTAGAAAAATGTAAATTATATTGAAACTTTTTAACAATCTTCAAAATACGATCACCATAATTTTCATGAAGAATGTTAAAACTTTAACTTTATTGTTGAACTACTAAAGTATAAATCATTTCCAGCAAACAAGAAGACGACAACAGCTGCAAAGACAGCAACACAAACGTTATCACCACACAGCTTCATCAACACAGGGACACAAAAGAGAACAAAGTGGAACTAAACAGGACAGAACAGAACCAAACGAAACTTATTTCAAATCCTTCAATAGCCTTTCAATGCACAATGACATCCAATCAGAGATAATTAACCCCAAACCGCCACACCGAAACAATTCCCGCGAAAAATAACATCAACTGGAAAATGTACACACACGCACGCACACACAAACACACATACTCATACATACACGCAAACACACACACATATACACGCACAGACAAACACAATTGCACATATCTAATCACACACAAACACATACGCAAAAACGCAGACATTAACATGTACAAACAAACAAAACATCAATACAAACACTGGCGTACAAACAAACAAACAAATTAAATATCAATACAAACACTGACATACAAACAAACGAACAAACAAAAACATCAATACAAACATTGGCGTACAAACAAAAATATTTAATCACGCACGCACGTATGCATTACTAACGCGTACATTTATACCTTTTTTTATTTTTTCCGAAGTAGCTTCTAAACAAGCACTTAACCGTATTAACCAAATTAACTTGCAAACATACAAACATAAAACAAACAAACAAACATAAAACAAACATACAAACAAACATAAAACAAACAAACATAAATAAAAACGTGCCAACGCACCTGAATGCATGCATACAAACGACAAAACAAAATTCATACATATACAACACACAAACAAACGTTCATACAAATAATCACATACATACAAACACCAAAAGATATAAAACTTAAAAACATTAAGAAACAATGACACAACAGATATACACACATGCGAACACACAAACATAGACAAACACAAACCCAAAAAACAAACAAACAGATACAAACAAATTTTTTTTTCTTCGCGTCACAACAAAACTTTGAGCACACGCATTTGCAAATGCCTTGCATAGTCCCTCGGAGGTTTAAACTTGTTTATGCCGTGCGTTACATTGCTAGGTCACTCAAAATGATGACGACCGTGATGGTCACGACGACGACGACGAACACGACAATGGTAATGATCTCTCAAAATGATGATGATGACGATGGCGACAATAAACAACAACTACTACAACATTAACAACAAAAAACAACAGAACATAGATAAAAAAAAACATAGACCCCAACAAAAAAACGCAGCAGCGCCTATTTGTACGGGGAAAATATTACAAGTAGGACATCCGAGAATGACATAATGGTGCATAACACATCATCACGTGACGTTATCGTCAACATGTTTTTAGCGTTCATTTCGGCGCTAAATGTTAAAACTAAGCAGCGTCTAATTATTGAATTATTAATGTATTCAAAATGTGCAACTCTCTCTCTCTCTCTCTCTCTCTCTCTCTCTCTCTCTCTCTCTCTCTCACTCAATTTGTCTTTATCTCTCTCTTTTAGCCCGTGTAAGAGAATCACGTAAAATGAGATGTTTAAAAGTGAAATTAGATGCAATGGTAATGGAAACCTGTGTGGTGTGGTTGTTGGTTTCTATGTTATTAGCGTTTTTTTGTGTTGCTGTTTCTTTTTGTTTTTTCAATTTTATTTGTTTTTTTCGTGTTTTCATTTCTCCTTCTTTTTTTAATTTTTCTTCATTTTTTGTTTGCAGATTTTTAAATAGTTAAAGTTGCAAGGAAAGTAATTTTGGTATCATTATATCCAAGTTACCTAGTATCTATAAAATAGTGTATCATTATATCTATCAATTTTATTATCTATGTAAATCAACGTGTCATTACATTTGATAATATAGTAACATTAAATCAAAGTAATTGGGTATCATTCTATCTATCAATTATGGTATCATCATATCTGAGTAATTGAAGTATAGTATCATCATATCTGAGTAATTGAAGTATCATTATTTCTGATTGTTTTTTTTCTCAAATGACTCAGTGTTTTCAGCGTAGTGTTATTAACATTTGTTTTTGTTCGGAAAATTGGCCAAGTTTGCAACCTAAAAATAAATGCGTGGTCTTCAATAAATGCTGAAAAAATGTGTTGCTTTGTTGTGTTATAAAAAAAATTTCAAAATAAACTAACTTTATTTTTTATTTAATCTCAGGTTTCAGTTTTCTATGCTCTGTCAGTTTCATGTTTCAATTATATAAAATTGACTTTTTTTTCTTAAAGTAAAGACTTTTCTATCAGGAACAATTATTTTCCTTCTATGAAATGATTAGAAAGAACCAAACAATTTTCTAACCTTACGACAAAATTTTCAATTTGCCTACTTCAGTCAACACAACATTCATACGATTAGTGTTTGGTTCCTAAACCTGATACTATTTTTTTAAAACTCATTCCGATTTGAAGAAATATGAAAACAATTGATTAATTTTTTAGATTTTTTAAAATTTGGTTGAATTAATTTTAATTGGACGTTTCTATTAAAATAATCTTATTTTTAAACGAAATTTATTCACAATAACAATTTGACATGAAGATTTTAAATTCATTTCACATAAAACAAATAACATAAAAGTTGAAATTTAAAGGTTTTTCTCCTTAGTTTTAAATAGTAAAGAATAAGCATTACGCTCTTAAAAAAATAATGATAATAAATATAATAATGATAATAATATCATAAAAATTATGAAATAATTTCTTCATTAAATATGAAATTAAGTTGAGAAAATTGAAGGATGAACCTGAAAGATTGAATAAATATTGTACGCATGTCCTTTCATCTTATCTCGCACCGTTGATCATTGCACTAAAATTATTTATAAATTTATTTCAAAGATATTTCCTGTGAAATATTCTTCAACTTTTTAAGAAATGTTTTCATATTTTTAAAATACTGTCTAACTCTTATCTTAGTTGCTGTTATTATTATTATTGTTGTTATACTTTTTTGTTGATTTTGTTTGTTTTTGTTTTTCTGTTCAAAGAAAAACGTGAACGCCATCTTTATATTTATTTAAATATTTTTGACGAGTGTTAAATAATTGCAAAAATTATCATCTGTTCATTCAAACTATTCTCAAAAGAAATTCTTGAATCTGTTTTTTCAGATTTTTTCAGCGTTTCAAAATTTTAATTAGAACGCTGCAGTAAAATGCTGCAAATTGTAACTTGAATACAAGTGCGTGTGTGAGAGTGCGCGCATGTGTGTGTGATCGTTTATGTAGGCGTGTGCGTGTTGTAAGATTGTCGTTTCCATCTGATCACCGAACAAAATTTTTATAATTGTTTAATTCAATTACGATTTATATGTATTATGTTATTATCACGTCTGCCAAACTTATCATAGTCTATCTAGCATTGTCATCATCATGTATGTCATGAACTCATATTTGTCATAATGTTCCTTCCTTCCAGCTGTAATCATTGCCATCATCACGTTACCATCTTGTTTTTACTCATCGGCATCGCATTCATCATCAGTTTCACTAATCAATCGCAGTCATTAATGTGCATTCGTTGTCGTCATTATCATCTCTGACATCAATCATGATTTTTACTGACATAACCATCTTTATCATCATCTTTTTCGTCATCGTCGTCGTCGTCATCATGACAGCAATCATCGTCACAGTATTCAGTTGTCACTAAAAAATGACTGTTCCTAAATTACGACATTCGCCAGCATAAAGGACAGCTTTTAAAAATCTTTTACAATGTCTTTACTTGTCATCCACACGTTCATGTTTCCAGAAAATTATCGTTCGCCAGGTTATTAACGCGTTAGCTTTAGCCTGTACGAGTGTACATGTTTGTTTGTCTGTCTGTTTGTTTGTATGTATGTTGGTTGGGTTGAGTATTTTTGTTGTTTGACTGTTTTGTTTGTGTGTATATTTTGATTTTTTTTATAGCAAAAACTGTATAAAAAATTTATTTTGCCTTTTTTCTAATTTTTTTTCTTTTTGTCATCACTTCGATGAGAAATTAATTTTAGAGCCTAATAAATAATCGCACCATTAAACCTTTGGATTAATAAAACAGTGTTGCCTTATTGCTGTAGTTGTGTTACGCTAATTTAACTTTGAAAGATGTTTTTTTCTCATGTGGTTTTTATTTTATTGTTGTTGTTGCTAATGTTGTAGTGTCATTTGTGTTTTTCTATAGTTGTCGCAACAATTTAACCGCAGGACAGTATTTTAATCGCATGGTGGAGAAAGTTGAAGCTGTTGTTTCTCTCTGTTTGTCCGTTTCTGTAAGTAATTAAACTGAAATGTCTGTTTGCTCGTTGACGATGCTGTTAAAGATGTTGGTGCTATAATGGTTTACATGATGGCTTCGCTTGTTTCGTCGGTGATGATGGTGTTGTTGTCGTCGTGGTCAATTTTGGTTTTCGGATTTTGTTTGCAAGAAAATGTATTATAACACTGTGAATGTTCTTGATTTTGTAATTACTTAGTTATCTTTTTGTTAGTGACATGAGTTTTTTTTTTAGAAAAATCAAGACCATTTTTTTTTAATAGAATTTGTCTTTGTGACGAAGTGTTATTTGCTGAATGGTTTTATTATCTGCAATGTCCTTTTAAAATGTATTTTTCCAAATATTTTAATGTAAACTTTGAAATTTTGCCCGAAATTTTTGTTAGGCAAAATATGTATATACCACCATCATCATCATTATCATTATCTTCATCATCATCGCAACTACTATCGTCATCATCATCATCATCGTCATCATCATCATCATCATCGTCATCATCATCATCATCGTCATCATCATCATCATCGCCACAACCATCGCCATCATTATTGTTAATTTCTGTTTACATCAAAATTTCTCTCCTCATTTTACGTAAAAAATCCAAAACCAAAATTTGAAAAATACTTTTTCTCATTACGTGATCAAATAACGAAACTTGAATAACAAATGCCAGTGATCGAAACCAGTGAAATAAAAAGGAAGAAAAACATTTGGCTACCAAAAAAAATGAGATAAATGGATTTATTCTTAAAACTTATTAAAATACTTAAAAAATAATAAAACAAGTAACAGAGTGAATCAAGTTTTTAAAAGAGGAAAAACAGAGACGCAGACGTAATTAGAGAGTAGAGTGCACAGGTAGGCGGGCACTCCTCCTAATTGAAACTTTTCATGACACTATTAAGATATTGAATGTTGCAAACTACACCGAGTTTACACAACGGCCAAATAACTAACGAATCAAATTTATTTTAGTGCATAATATTACGTTAGCTTAGATAGTAAATTTGACTTTTCGCTTGATTGCTTGACTGATTGATTGAACGTATGAACGAACGAATGAATGAATGAGTGGATTGATTAGTTGATTGATTGAATGAATGAATGAATGAATGAATGAATGAATGGATGAATTAGTGGTTTGATTGAATGAGTAGTAGGTTGAATAAATAGTTAGTTAAATGGAAAAATGGTTAGCTGATTTGACAAAATTTAATTTTTATTAACCAAAATACTACTACTAATAATAATATCCTCTATCCATCATAGGTTGATTTGAAAAACTCGACATCATCGTCTTCCCCATCATCATCACCATCATCATCACCACCACCATCATCAGCATTACCACCACCACTCTCTCCACCATCATCATTACCACCGCCATCGTCTCGATCATCTTCACCACCACCATCGTCTCCATCATCATCACCACCACCATCGTCTCTATCATCATCATCATCACCACTCCATCGAACATAACACCAATAAAAAATTGATTCCAATAAGAACGGCTGAAAAGGAACAAGATATGTGATTCATAAATAAAACAACACACGCACACACATATACGCACACAAACATACACAGACACACATATACACACACACATACACAGACATACATATACACACACATACACAGACACACATACACACATACACACAAACACATACGCAAATACAGACAAAATTACATACACGAACATAATGCCGAAAGCACATTCATAATGGCACACGCATTTTACTTAGATCGTAATAAATTGACCAAACAACAAAAAAGTTAAATTAAAAAATGAAAAAAAAACAAACAAACAATTTGCAAAAATCATTATTAAACACTAAATTGTTTCCTACATTTTCATTCCTAGGGTAACGACAATAAAAACTAACATTCATTATAAGCAGACAAATGACCACAACAAAAAAAAAATTTATTTCAACTAGCTTACAAGCTTTACTTGAATACTTCAGCAAACAAACCACCCCACAAAACACATTTACACATACATCTAAATTTGGACATACACACGCTAACGAACACATACATATACCGACATAAACACATCCATTCACACGCACAAGCACACACTTACGTAAGCGTTACGTGCGTTTTTATATCGCCTGGAAGATATGTGGTCAAGTTCTTGACCTTTCCTTTGAATAATTCATCACATGAACAAATGTATTACCCACACACGCACGCACACATATACACAATGGTATACAAATGCGTATATAAATGTGTATATATAATTGTGTGTGCGTGTGTGTGCGCGCGTGTGTGTGTGCGTCCAGGTTTGTGTGTATGGACTTGGTCACCACATAAAATATACATTATACCTACGCATCTGTTTTCAGAGAATGTATAACTCCAATTATTCTCCCTGCATACTCGTTCTAGAATTATTTATTATTCCATCTTCTGCTATTTCTATATCTATTTTTTTGTATGTATATACGGGTATAGTTGTGTGCTGTGTGCGTGTGTGTGTGTTTAAAGGTATGCAGGACTAATGTTAAAAAAGGGGTTTCACAAAAAACAGCTCATCTACCACAAAAAAATGAAACTTTGTAATTTTTTTAATATTTTTCCGATGTCATAATCACCGGCTAAAATAAACAAAGTAATAATCACTGAATAAATCTATCCATTTTCTTTTTAAAACAATTATCAAATATAAGGGGTGTTTTCATCTTAGTGGCTCTAGGGCTTCCACACCTTATTGCAGCAAAACCGGCCCTAGATGTGGCCACCACCAACTTTTGGGTCTGTAGGAGTAGTTGTGGTCAGCAGCTAGACGTTGAAAGCGCTTCACGTAAAAGAAGTGCTTTTCTTGATTATACTTTCTTGCAGGTGGATGATTTATCAGCTCTGTCATCCTCGAACAGTTAATGAGATTAATTCTGATTTTATGACTTTTTAGCCGCTGTGCATATTTGATGGCTCCATTCAGTTTCTTCCAGTACGTGTTTGTTGTTTGCTGCTCTGGCGATGAATTTTTCATAATCAATTAATTTTTTCTCACAAACTGGATAACGTTTATGTCTTTTCGAAATTGAAATTTTTTATTTATTTTTTTTGCATGAAACTTTTTTACTTTACCACGATTTTAAATAAAATAATCAAGTTTTTTGGTCTGTTTCGAAGTTTTTTATCTTTATTATTTGTAATTTTAAAATACGCGTTTTTTGAAAAAGTCTTCAATTGAAACAAACATGACACATTCGACTACGCTGTATTGCTTGGAAGTTTGAAACAATTCACTAATTTTATAAACAGTTAGGTCTGTATGCACGCACACGTAAGCACATTTCATTAATAAGTACAGCTTGGGCAGAAATTTTTTTTTGTCAGATACTGTTTAAACTTTTTTAATGTAATTTTTATCAACCATGAGTTTGATATTATTAATATTATTAATAACATTGTTATTATTATTAGTAGTAGTAGTACTAGCAGTAGTAGTAGTTGTAGCAGCAGCAATAGTAGTAGAAGGATTAGTGATAGCAGTAACAACAGCATTAGTAGTAGCAGCAGCAATAGTTGTAGTATAATAGTATGAAAAGTGGTATTATAAATTTGATGAGATAGAGAAACCAACCTGATGATGAGGAGCGCTGTTCTGAACTCGAATCCAAGCACTGCTAGTATCATGTTGGTACTTGAACGGTCCCATGAATGTCTGGTCTATAGACGCAACGCTGTAGACGCAGACTGCTGTTGCAATTACGCTGTTCCTGTGCATTTTGTTTGTGAGTGGTTGGATGGATTTTTTGTGAAATTGTTGGCCTATTTCTAAATGGAATGTTTAGATTAACATTTGGTATCATAAATAATAATGAGTTATTGGAATAACCATTCCTCCAAAATATAATCACACAAAGTCATCACACCCCAAAACAAGAGTTACAAAAAATAAAAAGCAGCCGCTACATACGGTGCAGTAGTGAAGACAGCATACACACTAGCTTCACTCTCGTCAAACGTGGACGCCTGGATCTCGTTGAAGTAGTAGGGGTAGGATCCGGGTAGTGAACAATTGAGACGGGCTTTCAGGAACGACGTCCAGTTGTCTTGCAAGAGAAATTTTCCACCCTGATCATTCTGGTTTTTCGTTAGTTGTGTAGAAGTTTTTGTGGTTGAGTATGTTTGAAGTAATTTTAGAAAAGTTGATACTTACGAAACGATAAAAATAATTCGAGGGTAATGTAATAAAAATATTCGTTGGACATTTCTCAATGACTCTCTCTAGAAGTCATCCATTCATTTCAATTAAACGCAGAGAAAAAAAACGTTCAAACATATTTATTACAATGTTTCACTCCTCACACACACACACCCACACACACAACACACACATATACATACACGCACACACTCACACACACATATACACACACGCACACACACACTTCACACTTAAACACACATCTACCTTACATATCCTAGCCACTCTGGAATAGACAGCCTGTATGTATGTGAATAAAAAGATAGTTACGATACATGCACGTATCTCTGATTCGCATTGTATTAATATGCAAAAATACCTAGATATATATTATACATATATTATACATAATGCAATGTAAATGTTTAGGTAAGCTGAATCTAAAATAGACAAACTAATAATGTATACAAACTATGTGTGTGTTTAAGTGTATATATGTTAGCGTACGTACGTATGTGTGTATGTGCTTGTGTGTGTGTTTGTTAAATGTCTGTTTTATAGTATGAACACATATACATGCATGTATTAATGTTGTTGTTGTTTTAGAGCAAAGTGTTATAGATTTAGATTAATAGCCATGGTTTATATGCCTAATTGTTTTGTGTATGTAGGTCTCTATGCGATGATTTTATGCTGGAGACATTTGTTTCAATTTTCAGAGGCACTTAACTATGTCGAAGTTTTATTTTATTATTATTCTTATTTTTATTTCTCATCATCATCATCGTATCATCATCACTACAATCAGCAGCAACAACAACAACAACAACATCGTCATCATCGTCATCGTCGTCACCATCATAATCGTCGTCGTCATCTTCATCATCATCGTCATCATCTTACTTTTCCACAGTTTATATATTCCATGGCCACCTCTCGGAATAAGAAATAAACGTAGGCTCCAACTTCATACGATGACACAAAATCTGGTTCTGTTTATATTCGTTTGTTTGTTTGTTGTTGGTTGTTGTTGATTGTTTGTTGTTGTTGGTTGTCTGTTTACCTGTGTGGTTTGTTGGTGTTTGTTGGGATTGTTTGTTGTTGTTGGTTTTGTTGTTGTACGTTTGTCTGTTGCAGTTACAAGTGAAACAACATCATCAGTGACATAAACAACAAAAATATAACAACATTACTAAACATATGCCACAACATAACCAACAACAACATCAACAACAACAACCACTACAGCAGCAACAACAACAACTTCAGCGGCTACAACGACAACGAACGACTTTCATGAGCATCCACGGACCAACCCATCTTAACTCATCAACTTTTAATTGTTTTAATTAGCAAAGAAGACATCTCTGGGTACAGACCGACACGCATAGATGCATCGCCCACATACACATGCACACAGACACACTCACACACGTACACACATACACATACACAATTCTCTACAAACGATGGATACATACAAGTAAATAAATACAAAAATATACAAAAAGTTTACAAACAATTTAGCAGGTACAGACTTAATTACCGAATAATTTTTATTGAAACGCTTAGGGCAATAATTATATTCTTATATTTATAATTAAAAACAAAAGTTTTCTGCCCAATTAACACTAACAAACACACACACACACACACACACACATACAAGCAATAAACACATAAACTGCTTTGCAGCAAAAAGTCACCAAAAAATGAACAATAAGGGGAACTGACAAATGCACCATGAAATTGGTTATGTGTGGAGTGTGATGTTCAATGACATTTACATACAAACTTGACTCAACCACACACACACACACACACAGACACACACAGACAAACGCACACATACATACACACAAGCAAACAAACAAATGCACACACATGCATAATTAAATTTCTTTATTGCCAAACCATAATGTGCATTCTCTATCTAATTAGAGGCAATTTCGTTTAAATAATCTCCAGCCAACATGAGTAATGTTAAGTTCGTACCAGGTCAGTCAGTAAGTCGTGTGGTGTGGGTGTGTGTGAGTGGACTTGTCGTCGTGTAGTTGCGTGTGGTGTCGTCGTGTGTGTGTGCAGCATCGTGTGGCTTGCCGTGTGGTGTGGTGTGGTGCGTGTGGAACTGCTGTTGCAAAAATTCTATACAAAATTTGTTTGTTAAATAGTTGTATACATCAGAAAAACAAAAAAAATGCTTCGAACTTTTTTAAAAACTCTAGCACTTTTACAAGAAAATGTTTAATAAAATTATGATACAAACAGAAATAAAATATAGATACAATAATAATAATAATAATAATAATAATAATAATAATAATAATAATAATAAAATAATAATATCAATAATGAAATCATGGATGAATGGAGGCAGGGATTGATGGATGTTTATATGGAAGCATGGGGAGGAAATAAATGAGATGTAGGGGAATAGAGAGAAGAGGCGATAGTTAGAAAAAAACGAATGAAAAAAAAATAAAATAAAACAGAAACAAAAAACTTATATAAAAAACTTATATAAAAAACAAAAATATAAAAATTTACTCTTGAAATTTTTAGATAATATAATAATAGACAATTAAAACGATGGATTTTGGTAATTTTCAAAGTGTTTTTTGGTATTTTTATATGACGACTACAACAAACTGCCCAGTAACATTCGAATTTTTTTCACCAAACCTCCTCCTACTCTAACCTATAACTCTGAATCTATTTGAAAATCCTGCTTTGCCTAGCATTTTACATAATAAAACATTTATTCTACATTACCTGGTTAGACAAATGTCCTTAAAAAGCCGCCTATATATACACCGGCTGACGTAGAAACACATTCATAAGTACGGCCAAGATGTACAGATACAAGCATTTCAACAACAGTCCTTCAGTCTGTTCTATCCGAGCCAGGCAAGACCTGGTACTCCTTGCATTGTGCTGTGTTGTGTATGTTTTAGTTAGACAGAATTTTTGTAAGTTTTATTACTGGATGACTGGAATGTTCAGAAAATTTTAATTAGAATGAGTATACATTGATCATGGGTAAATTGAAAAAAAAAACTTAAACGCGCGATTTAATTTGTTTTTCATTTATAATTTCAATTCCACGTCAGTGATAAAATATTTCCCAGTCAAAAACAGGCAATTTAATTATTAATCCGAAGAAAACGTCGGATGAAGTTAGATTTAAGCTGCCCATTTGGATTAAACTCGTCGTCAGTCGCCACAAATATTTTCAAAATTTCCAAGTAACGATGAATTTCCCATAGTTAGAATCACAAACATCTCACACAAACCCATGCCCAGTACGGTGTTGTGTTGACGCACACGCACAGCTCCGTGTATAAAATATCTCATTATATTTATTGCGCCATGAAAAAATATTGCATACATATACCTAACTATGCATGTGTTTGCATGCCTTTATGTCTTCTTTACAAGCAAATATTTGCAGGTTTATATTTATTAAGTTTATTTTACATGTTTGCATATCATCACATAATATGAAATAATGTTTATACTTGTTTTGTTTAAATATTTCAATGAGTTCTTGCGTAAATGTGCTTCTTGAAGATACTATCATGATACGACGTATCTACAATCTAGATACTATTTATCTAGTTGTATATGAACAATGTCGTTAATGCACTCATTGCTAAAGAGGAACTCAGCGTTGCAGCCGGTAGGTTCGGTGATTACTTAGGACGACAGTACGTTTTTAATCAAGTTTTCGTGAAATTTTTGGAACGCCTCAGCAGACACTGCCGTCAATTATCTGCGAGTACCCGTACAAAATGTCTTTCTAATGAAGCAAAAAGTAGGTGAGAAATGTTTTGTAAAGGGAAAAAATTATTTCAAGCATAAAAATGTTGAATTAAATGATGAAAATAAGATGAAAATTTAAAGAAAAAAAAAAGAAAAATAGAAGAGTAATTAAGAAAAAAAAGAAAAAAATGAGAAAATGAGAGCAGACAAAAGATCCTAACAGAAACAATGCAAAAAATTAAGAGGGAAGAATGAAGGACAGAAACACGTGAACGGATGAACCTAGAAACCCCGGTCATAAAGATACTACGCACCAATAAGCAAGCACTCAACAATGTTTAGAGAACGTTAACAAACGCATGCAAACCTTAAGCCAGCAAATTACACGTGTTCTTATGCCTGCATATCCTCACAAGTATTCCTCTTCAGTTTGTTTATATCTACTTGTGTAGGGAGAACGGCGGAAAATGTGCGAAGAAAAATGAGAGATGGAGGGGAAAATGAGAGAGTGGAGAAGAAGAGAGAAAAAAGAAAAGGAAGGAAAAAGGAAATGAGAGAAAGAAAGAGATAGAGAGAGAGAGAAAAAAAAAGAGAGATGAAAAAAAGAGAAAGAAAAACAGCAGATAAACGGCGATAGATTGACAAAACCAAAACAGAAAGAAAGAGAAAGAAAGATAGAAAGAAAAAAAAGTAAATTAAGAAAGAGAGGGAGAGAGAGAAAAAGAGAGAGAAAAAAATCAAGCCAATTTGTAAAACTTAGTAAAAAACAATAAATAATTATAACAAAAAAAATAAATAAATAAATATGATTGTGCAGTAAAATCTGCCCACGAACAAAACGTAATTTTTCTTCATTTTTGAAAAATGCAAAAACCTTTTTTTTGAAAAGTAAAACTAAAAAATATTTAATCTGAAAAATTTATATCCATAATAACAATAAAAGTATAATAAAAATAATAAAACATCGGCAAAAAACATCAAAATTTTCACGTAATTACAAGTTATGTGCCAGCACGCATGACATTTTCAATGTAATAATCCATTTAAATAGCTTACATTTACCCATTCCATAATTTTTACAATGAAAAATTTTTAAATAAAATTTAAAAAGATTTAAAAATAATTTAATACTTCAAATTTTTTGTTAAAAATTTTTATCTATTTTTCTTTATCTCATCGAAATTTCATGAAAAATTGACAGTCATTAAATTTTTAGTTAATCAAATATTCAGATCTGCTATTACTGTACCACGTATGATCAGCACTGAACTAGAAATAACATTTGCTCGGTTTAATATGATCAACAACTTCTATGGAAAAAATGTTTTAAAGTCAGAAGCGAAAACCTAGAAAAAATATTTGTCACAAAAATGAAACATAATTTCGGTATGAAAAAAAATTAAAATGGGCCCACCTCTGGTTTAACACCATATTATTTTGTTTAAAATTTTAATGTTTAGATAGAAAAAATACTTGAACCAAATTTTTTATCAGATTTTCTTTCCTACCTGCTCTAATACAACAATCAAACAATGGCTAGACACCTTGGTTTGATAATATTTAATGCCAAACACGTATGTATGAGTTGAGTTAATCTATTTACAAACAAGCACACGCACACATACATAGATACATTCAACCACAAACATGCAGGCATACAACACGTACAAGCGTGCACCACACACACACACACACTCACACACACACATACATACATACACACACACATACATACATACATACATACACACACACATACATACATACATACACACACACACACATAAACATGTAGGTGCGTGACCGTGCAGACTAACAAAAACATAAACAAAGTTCTAACAAGCCACAAATGCTGGAGAAATGTAATTAAAATGGCATAAAAATGAATTATTTCATTGCATGAAACCAGGACTACGTTATGCTCGTCATCTACGTCATCGTTAACGTCATTATTGAGGAAATCGTCATCATATTTAATGTCGTCATCTTCGTCGTCGTCAAAGAAGCGAGTCTAGTTATTTTCAATTGCGTCACAGTGTGAGTTAGTTCACAACTCATTGATAACTTAGAAAGGAGCACACCACAGCAGCCAACCGTTGAGCCATCTGGTGTTGAATTGAGCGGTCCGAACACTTTTCAAATTCCCCATTATTCGGAAGATGGCCGGATCTCTGGCGGCAAAATCCGTGACGAGGGCTGAGTAGAAATTGTCGTCTGACGTCTTTATGATGGTGCTGTTCTGCAGGGGATGGTATGGTGAGAAACCGATTCCCGATATTCGTTCGGTTATTTCGTGAAGAGAGTCCATCTAATTGGTGGTTGATTGGTGGGTGAATAAATGAATATCTGAGTGAATGAATGAATGAATAACGGATGAATGGATGAATTAATGAATAAATCAACGTGTGAGTGAGTAAAGCAATGTTTATAAATTAACTGATATTTTTAAATTTTATATCTATGCATATTTTTACTAATCAATTAATATATTTTTTGTGTTTTTTTGGTTATTTATGAACATATATGCATTCAACATGAAACATGGCTGATCAGTTTATAACATTCTCATTTCATCATCTACTCATCTCATAGTTGAACTCATTTGAACTAGCAATGATGATGTTAAGAAGTGACTAAGAGCCTAACTGAATGAAACTGACAAAATTTTTGTTCAATTAGTTGCGGTAAGAAAATTGAAAACATTTCAATAAAACTCCCATTTTTAAAAATTTAAACGCCGCTCCAGAATTTGAAACTCGCGAAAATTAAAAAAATTTCCTTTTTTTCTCCGAATTAATATTTGAAAATTTTCTAAGGAGAAAATTTATTAAGAAACAAAAATTAAATCCCTACTCGTGACGTGAATGTCTCAATAAAGATTATGCTGATGACTTCAAACTGCGTACTTTAATGTATGTACGTATCATACATGTACAACAACGTGTGTGTGTGTGTGTGCACAGTTTTGTACACTACTCAAGTTTGTATATCTTAACACTTGTTAGATTCTTATGTGTGAGTGCGTGTGTGTATGTGTGCGTGTGTGTGTCTATGTGTGTGCCTGTCTGTGTTCGTGTGTGTGTGTGTGTGTGTGTGTGTGTATGTGGCGCGTACAAAAACACACACACACACACACACACACACACACACAAGTATAACACGTGCAAAAAACAAACAAATACACAAACACAGAGAAGAGCACACATACGCACACGCACGCACTCAACTGCCTTTCCATCGGATAAAATTAATGATGACGTCATTGAAAAATCGAATTACCAAAGATTAAGAATGAGATACAAGCACGGCTATGAAAAAACAGAAGCGTGAGTACCGTTGAGTCTATGGTATTTGGGGTATTAGTTAAGGTACACGCTGCGGTATTGAGATATATATACACACTAACGACAATAGCACCCTCATTATCATTTCACAAGCTTACGCTGTCGTTGTACACTTAGTTATGTACAATCAAATCTATTTAACTGATAAATTCGGATAGTGTGTGTGTTACTAGAGCAAATACTACAACGACAACTACTACTACTATTGCTACTACTACTACTATTGCTACTACTACTACTACTATTACTTCTACTATAAAGGTTAAAGGTTTTTCTCTCTCTCTCTTGCGTTTGCTTCAGAGGTTTCAACAACAAACACACACAGCGTACATGAATACGCGTGCAAACTACGCATCATACACATTGCATATGATAGGCGGGATCTCTTTGTATTCGAACCCAGTCATTGCAATAGCAAGACCAGGCGCCTTTAACCATTGAACCAACACGCCGCCCAACTAGTGTATACTACTGTTATTATTACTACTACTGCTGCTACTACAACTACTTCCACTACCATTACTACTACTACCTACTTCTACAATTACTGTAATAAAAAAAAATCAAGAAAGAGTGAAAGAGAGGGGGCGGGAGAGAATGAGAGAGTAATACAAAATATGTATCTGATATTTACATTTGATATCAAAATATATATCTCATATATCAAAACATTATCAAAGTTTATGTGGTTGCATTTGGTGGCGTTATTTAAAGTTTAAAATGTAATTTTATATGATACCAATCATCATCTATATTTTCAGCATCAGTGGCAATGTTTTTCGAGCTCTATCACACAGACACATGTTCCATGTCAAATAAAAACACAATATGACTAAACACGAAAAACCGAGGCTTCAGAAAACCATATTGCTACACTCACTGATACATACAAACACGCTAATAACGCATACTAAAAACAAACACTAAAAACACCCAAAACATACTTATACCAACGTACACAAACAGATAAACAAACACACACACATATACGCACGCACGCACACTCACAAACACGTATTTTTTCTAAGTACCTACGCACACACATATACCTATAAATTATTAATTAATATTTAATTTTAAAGTCATTACGTCATCATCGACACTGACGTCATCATCATTTTCAAAATGACATCATTCAAAAAATGATAGTGCATCGTTAATGCGCATAAATATTAATATCTAACATAAAAACAAACTAAACATAAAAACACAATTACATGCAAAAACAACCATTCAAACGCATACACGTTCAAAAACGTATATACAGACTTGTACTCACATACATACAAACATACGTGCATGACTACAAACACATACATACAAATGTACACAAATCCGTGCGTACCTTGTATGCATGTGTGTATTGTATACACACTCCTATTGCTATAAACATCAGCGTCTATTTAGCACTACATCAATCTGAATTATTGAATATTGCATGCGTCAACATTCATCCTCATCATCTTCTTCATCATCTTCTTCGTCATCATCTTTTTCATCATCATCTTCTTCTTCAACATCATTATTATCATCATTATTAGTATCCTTATCTTATAAAACACGATCACCATGTTTTAGAAGGTGACAAAATAATGGTGACGTTCTTGACAAAGACGAGGACATGAGATGATAATGTTAACAATGGTGATGACGAAGATGATGACGAAGATGAAAATGAGGAAATAGTTAATAAAACGTTTTTGAAAATGTTGATGACAAAAAATGATGATGAAGTTCTAAGAGTTGATGATGAAAACAAAATGATGATGTCTTTAGAGATGATGATGACTACAAGAGGATGATGTTCTCTTGGAGTTGATGATGCTAATTATAAGAACGTTCGTTTGCCTTTCAGGGGCATATTTATGTGCAAGTTTGCGTAGCATTGCATTGCTGTCTGTCAACTTTGTCAATCAATCGTAAATAAAACTTCGGAATTCCTAATTTTTCTGTTTATTATGAAACAATTTTTTTTTTACATTTTCGGAGTTAATGAAACATTTTTAAGTTAGCGAAATGAAAATTAATGATGAATTATTAATTTATTTAATCGTCATTATAAGGATTCATTCAACTTTGAAGTATGTACCTAGATAAAGCAGCCTATCAACTAAAACTTCATTTAATTATTAAAAAACGATTTCATCAAATAAACAATTCAAACGAAAATATAATTGGATATATTTACAACGAGAAATATAAAAAAAGCTGAGATGATTAAGCAAGAGTAGCAAGAAACTAAAAATGATGAAGAGAAAAGTAACGAAGAAGAAAATGATGATGAAGATTGAGATGGGAACAACGATGATGAAAATGATGATGAAAACTACGATGATGAAGATGATGATGGAAACAACGATGATGAAGATGATGATGGAAACAACGATGATGAAGATGATGATGGAAGCAATGCAGACGTGGAAATGATGACGAAATAGATGAAGTAACATGCGTCATTTTTGATTCAGCGGGTAGCATGGGTCAATTAGATTTTCAAGTCACTGCTTCTCGAAGTTTTCCTAGATTTTTTTTTTCCTGGTTTCTCGAAAATGAGAAAATATATTGATGTATTGTTTTTGTTGGGAACATTTTTCAGGAAATGAAGACGTTTTTTTTGTCGGTGTTTGATGTTCGTAGGATCTCATAATACATATATTTTTGTAACTTTGGAAAAAAATCTAATCGATTTCATTTAAAAAACACTTCTTGTATTATTATTATTTAAATTTTTTCATGTAAAAATTGTTTGAAGAATGCGTCTCTTTTATTAGAAATAATTTGACCTATGTTATGACGCTTTATATAAAATCACGTTCCAGAACAATTTTGAAACTTCAAAAATGTTTTCAAAAGAAATTGGAAAAAATCAAAAATAAATTTCCATTTTAATTTTATAACAAGAAAAAATAAAATAATTTTGAAATAGCAAAAAATAAATTGAAATCATTTGACGTTAGTTTAATTTCAGTCTGCGTTCATTGTGATTTGGAAAATTTAAAAAAGTTTTCAAACAAAGGGAAAAGTAAGAAATGGAGAAAGAGAGTGAGAGAGGGAAAGGGAAAAAAAGAGTGCAAGAGAGAGACAAAGAGAGTGAAATAGTGGTTGAGAAAGAGAGAACATTCAAAAGAAAGAAAAATTGTTATAGACGTCGGAAAAACGTGTTCATGAAAAGAATTTTTAAATTTCGCTCCCCACCGCTGTGTTTGCTGCATTCTTCCTCCAACAGCAGAATACTCACGAGTCTTCATTGGACAGAAAGCAAAACTAAAAAAAGGAAAAATATGATTCTGCTGATGTATTGAAGAGTTGGGATTTGGTTCGTTGCTTAAGAAAGAGAGAGAGAGAGAGAGAGAGAAAGAGAAAAAGAAAAAAAGAAAAAGAGAAAGAAAGAGAGAACGCGAGAGAAAAACAAACAAACAAAGAAAAAGAAAGAGAGAGAGTAAAAGAGAAAGATCAAATTGCCAATTTTGAAACAAAAATTGAAATTTAATCATTGACATAATGTTTCTATATACCCAAGATAACTTTACACTGAAAACGTTTCGAAATAGCAATACAAATATAAAAACAAAAGATTTCTGAAAATTTATCAAGTCCAACAAAATTGTAACTGATGGTGCAATGATGAAAAAAGTTATACCGCAGTTGATAGATTGAATGGAAGAGGGTGTTGCTGGTGGAGCTTTCAGTTATAAAGTACTTCCACCTTACGCAAAGACAGCTCTGTAGATAAATTGTCGACTGACACTCTTTCCAACGCTGTATAAATATTAAGGGTGAGAGTAATTGAACCATTTAAAACTGCCTCAAGATCTTTCGAGAAAAAAATGGGAAAAATTGTTTTTTTTCAGCTTCCAGTGAATTTTTCACATAAAAATTAAACTTCATCCCTCACAAAAATATTATTAAAAATTGTTGATGAACCGAAACAATTAAAGTAAAACAAAGCATAAAATAATTTCTAATACCCTAAACAACATAGTTAATCTGCTTAATAATAATAATAATAATAATAATAACAACAACAACAAAACTAATAGATGATCGTGACCAATGGTATTTAAGAAATGACGTTTTCACGGAAACTTTCATGGCTATTATTATTTATTAACAAAAACGCATTAATGAAATAATAGCTAAAACAAATAATTTTTTCCACCATGCATGTGGATACGTAGAAGTCGCCTACCTGAAATTATTGTACCTTTGTACGTATATCAACCCTTCAATTACATTCGTCATCTACCATCATAAATACACGCGTACGCGACTGTCACACTCACACACACACTTACACACACACTCACACACACTCTCACACACTCACTCACACACAGACACACTCACACACAGACACACTCACACACAGACACATAGACCCACACACACACAAAATATACACACGTATACATACTACATTCAAATTCACAACAGTAACTACAACACAAACAGACACTGTTTTTAATACAACACACAAACAGGACTTTACCACACAAAGGTTTTTATACAAACAGCACTTAACTTTACCACATACTTTAATTTTTTATACAAAACACCCCAACATAAATTTGTATCCTAGAACAAAGTATTCGAGGTATTCTTGGTATTGTTCTAACTGCTGGTATTGTTGAACTACGCCATATTGATATCTTGTTATCTTATATCAGGCAGACTTGTAACTCTACGTTTCAGCACATTGTACCATTTTCATTCACTCTAGAGAAACCTTCCCTTAACATTTCAGATATTGTTAATGTAAAAATCATTGTAGAAAAATTTAGAATAACTGCGAAATCTTTTGGAGCGTTAAGTAAGTACCAATGTAGCAATCACAAATAGCATCAAACATCAAATTATAAAAAAAAAATGTTAAAATTGAAGACAACACATTTTAAAACATCTATGAACAACAAAATAAACTATTCAGCAACAAATTTATGTACAACAACATGTATAACACACAAATAAAATCATACACAACACTATCCACAGCAATACGTACATCATCAACAACAAACACAACAACAACATACACAACAACAACAACCGTAACAAACACAGCAACAACAAACACAACAACAACATACACAGCAACAACAACAAACACATCGACACATACACAACAACAACAACACAAAAACAATAAACGCAAGGACAATAAACACAACAACAACATCACAACAACAACAAAGCATCCACAACAACAAGTACAACAAACGTCACAACAACAACAACACAAGGTGTGTCATCAA